GATTGCAGAGGAGACGGGCACGCCGAGCGAGCGGCGAAACCGATAAGGGAATGGCGGAAGCATCTGAACAGAGCCCGGAAAGACGGAGGCGAAACCGATAAGGAAATGGGAAAAGGAGAGAGACGAACTGGCCCCGCGATATAGGGACTGGCGTGCCAAACTGTGCAGAAAAGTGGCAAAATATCGAAAACGGCCCAGGAGCACCGCTGTCCCTTAACGGTTTCGCTTGCGAGTTTCGCGAGGAGAACAAGAAAGAAAAACGGCCGCAATAAAGCAGCAGCCTAATAATGCCGCCCGATCGTATTCCTCGCAGAGTCTAGCGGGTACAGAATAACTATTCGGCTGCAAGTGGTACCGCTGGCCGCGGATTAAGAACTTCCCAAAAACCTTCCCAGTGCGAGGCCGTCAAAGCATCCACCGCCACGGCCACCCCTGCCGAAGGCCTTTGCGATGTAGTGAGCGAGGCACAGCGCTGAGGCGGCAAGGGGTGCCCGCTCGGTGTCCCGGGCTCGCTTCCTAGCTCTAGCGAAGCGGATAAGCAGGCACGAGAAAAGCACAGAAAAGGAGAGAAGTGATACCCGAGGGAAGGGGATCCAGCAGCAGCCCAAAGAAGATCAAGGAGAGAAGTTTTGTGTCTGTCAAAAAAGGTCTATTTCTAGTAGGAACCGATAACCCGGAACAGCTTGAACAAGCAAAGGGCTCTGACGTTTTCGGTTGGATCTTCAGAGCGAATTGAGATCGTTACATCTGTGCACTTGAACAAGCAAAGCAGCTGCTGGCCTGCTATATGATAAAAGAAAACCTTTGAACAGCCACGGTAGGGCCACTGGATGGCGAGAGAAGAACGCCTTTGAGCCCGTTTGGGCAGTTGAAGCCCAAAGGGGCATTTTTCACAGAGGAAGTAACTCAACAACTCGAATCCAAAAGCATGGGCGTTCTTCACGTTACGCCGGTGCTCTCCCTCCGGCATGCTAGGGGCAGCGTGCTCGAGATCCGATCAAGAAGGCAGTACCCGGGGCCAGTAAAAAACGCTGACGGCTCCAGAGCAAGACGCGGCCTGGCCTTAAGGAAGACCGGCCGAGACACACAAACAGGGGAAAAGGGGGCAGAGAAATCGAGAAGGGAACGGAAGCAACGGTGTCCCTCAACGGTTTGCCCTAAGAGTTTCCCGGAGTTTGGCGTGCTGAATTACTGGCAAAAATTCGACACAGTCCGATTTGGAAGGAAAAAAGTTGCAGAAATGAACCTAGGGGAGCCCTTTCTCTTGTAGTTCCAACGGGAGTCGCTTCATAATTAAGGGGCCCCCTTAGTGATTGAACCAAAATCCTTCGAAGCTGATACCCGGACGAAAGTCGAAACCATTAAGCGCGGGCATTTCACGAATTCGAAACGGGTAAGGGACTTGCAAAGCGGCCAACACCCCTCGAAACCGATACCCGCATGAATGTCGAAACCATTAAGGGACGACATTTCGCGAATTCGAAACGGTTAAGGGACTCGCAAAACGGTCAACCACCTGGCAGACTTTTTGCGAAAGCTTTCGCGCCTTTTTCGTTGTTATATGCTTGGGCTTTTTTCTTATTTGCGACGAAAAGTGTCGCGGCGTGCCGCAAGGCGTGGCGCAAGGTTTTATCGAAACGCCGCCACGTGGAGACCAATGAGGCCTCCCGTTTGTGGCCAATCTTTCGGAAGAATATGACGAGGCGAAACCGATAAGGAGACCCGGGAAACCCTTGCGGGGATTTTTGTCGGAGACGTTGCGACGTTCTTTTTCTTTTTCGTCTTCTTTTTGTGAATATTTAAGA